ATATATATATAAAGAAAGGACTATAGACTAATATTTATTTTCTTTTATTGAATAACAGGAACAAATGGTTGGATAGCTCCTCCAGATACTGGCCTCACATCACGTAATCACGTTAAGTACTCAGGCCAAATCGTTTGGCTCTTTAACATCACGGCTGATCCCGAAGAAAGGAATGATCTTACAAATACCGAACCTGATGTTGTTATTGATTTACTGGATAAGCTTGCGTCTTATGAAAAAGAAGCGCTACCAGTGGATTATCCACCTGGAGATGCTGTTAATTCTAACCCGAAAACAAATGGGAACGGAGATGTCTGGGGTCCATGGAAATGGCGGATTCAAAAAGAGGCCCAGCAAAAAGAAACGAAAACAAAGCAAAAGAAAACAAAACAAAAACAAGATAAATTAAATAAAATCCGAACACTAAATCATATAAAAGAGCAAGAAGATTTGACATTTTATAGGGCTTATGATTCAGGCCTCCTGAAATCAAATAACCCTATTGTAACTTATTTAAAATCTGAAATCATACCTCCATATTACATTATAATTTTCTTTTTCTTGCTTGCCCTTATATATACAAAACTGAACCTTAAATGTATAAGTAGAATATTCTGATAAACACATTCCTACGGCTGTTTAGTATTGCTCGCAATCAAACTGCGACATCTTCCTCTTAGAATTGTATTCGCAGTTGAAGGTTGATATACGCCCTCACAAATTGAGGCTGTGGTAAGGCCAGAGAGAACTCTAGGCGTTGAAGAGTGTCTGGATGGATAGAATCTTTGACTATACTAATAGGTCTTTGTGGTTTAGATGTATGACGGTCGCCTTGTCAGCGAATCCCACTAGATTTATATAACTGTTAAGAAACGTGTTATACACACACATGCGATAATACGAGAAGCTTTATTGCAATTTCTTATCATAACAAAACTGAAGTTTAACAATAGGCTAAGAAAACACAAACAAAAAAAGTAATTAAAATTCACCGAAGAGAGAATACACCCACACACACACACACACACACACACACCCACACACACACACACACACACACACCCACACACTATTCATATATATATATAAATAAATTATACATACATATACACACACATACATACATATATATATATATATATAAATATATACATACATATATATACACATACATACATATATATATATATATACATACATACATACATACATACATACATATATACACCCATACATACATACATACATACATACACACACGCGCACACGCACACGCACACACACACATATATTATATGCAATTATTTGTTTCAATTCAACTTTTTATTGTGAAGAATAGTTGTAGTTATATAATAATTGACAAAAGGTAGTAAGGTGTAGTTAACAAAAATAACTAATCAAATGCTTAACACCTTCTACATAAAATAATGTCAAGGAATTTAAATCAAGGATACTACAATCTGTTGAATATGGACGGACGTACAACATGAATAAACATTATACATAAATATAAAACATAATCAAAATAATATAACCAAAATTTTAAATATACATATCAAATAAATATTTTTTTACTTCTGCAACAAATCGTTTTCTACAAATAATATTTTTAATAGAAGGACTAAGACCATTCCATAATTTTGACCAACAAATGAAATTCTATGTTTGCCTAAATCAATACAGGCTTTGGGCAGGGCAAAATAACACTTGTATTTAATCTAGTATTGTATGAATGAGTTATAGGCATGAAAGTAATCATAAATTGAATGTGGTGTTCTGTCGTGAAAAGATCAGAAATAAATGTAAGCACATATAACTCTTTTAATTTATATATATCCAGAAATTTAAGATTAAAAAATAAAGAAGCTGTATGTGCTCTAAATTGTGAGAAAGTAATACATCTTACTATCATCTTTTGTGTACGAAAAATTGGTTCAAGATACGAAATAAAAGTGCTTCCCCAAACCTCAATACCATAAGTCAATAGAGGATATATAAATGAATAACATAAGGTAACCAATGTATTTCTAGGAACAAAATGTCTTAATTTAAAAAGAAACCAAACTTTCTTTTTAACATTTTCACAGACATAATCAATATGTGACTTCCATAATAAGTTTTTGTCAAAAATAATACCTACAAAATTAACAGATAAACTCTCTTTAATTATAACATTATTTATAGTTAAATGACCTTGTTTAATGATAGCTTTATTTTTAGAATACATATAGTTAGTTTTCTCTGGATTAATTGTCAGCTTATTGGAGTTGCACCAATTCATGATTTTTTGAAATTGAATATTAAATATAGATAAATCCTGGAAATTACCAGAAAAAGAATGAAATAAATTCGTATCATCTGTAAAAAGTCGAAAGTCAAAAAAATCCGAAGAATTGGGTAAATCATTGATATAAATTAAAAAAAGACTAGGTCCCCAAGACAGAGCCTTGGGGAACTCCACAAATGATATTTAGTGTATCTGAGAAATAATTGTTTAACGAAATAAACTGTTTTCTATCACTAAGATAATTCTTCAGCCAAAGATGTGCATTTCCTCGAATACCATACTGAAATAATTTAGAACATAATATAGAATGATTAATTGTGTCAAATTCTTTACGAAAATCAATGAAAATTCTACAAGAATATTTTTTTGTTATCAATGTCAAACTGAAGCATATTAACAAGATTAATTAAGGATAATACAGTACTGAATTTCTTCCTAAATCCATATTGGTGTTTATAGAACAAATTAAATTTTTCAAAATAATTAGTCTTTCATTAAATAAAGTTTCTAGAAATTTACTGAACACAGGAAGAATAGATATAGGTCTATAATTACCAAGTAACTCTTTTTTACCATTTTTAAACAATGGAATAACCCGTGCAGATTTAAAAGCAATAGGAAATTGGGATTTTTGAAAAGAAGTATGAAATATATGACAAAGAGGTAAGTAAATAAATGGTGTTGCAATACGAATTAATTTAGCAGGAATATTGTCATATCCTGTAGCCTTCTTTATATCAATAGAAGCAAGTAAATTAAAAAATTCAATTGGGGATATAGGTTCTAAAAAAAGAATTAATAGATGGTGAACCACAATACAAAGAAAAATTATTTGACCTACCAACTGCAATGTTTTTTGCCAGTTCAGGACCAATGTTTGTGAAAAAACGATTTAAATTCATTTACTATGTCATTTGGATCAGAGATTACGGTAATATTGCCAGTTTGATGAGAGATAACGATTTTATCTGGTAAGTTTAATGTGGTTGATTTTCTCCCAATCAAGGTATTGATAATTTGCCAGGTTTTGGCATAGTCATTCTTATTATTAGTGATTAAGTCATTGTAATAATTTTTCTTTGTAATTTTTAGTAGTTTAGTTAATGAATTTCTATACTTTTTATAATTTGAAAATAAAGTAGGTTCAAAATTTGACTAAATAATATTAGAGTGTAGTTTATGTTTCCGTCTAATGGATTTTTTTATTGCTTTAATACTAATCCAAGGTTTTTTCCTTTTTATGTTTTAAGGCTCTTTTTAACTACAGGAGCATGCAACTGACAAACGCTATTAAATTTTGATATATATATATTATACGATTCATCAACATCAGGACATTCATAAACATCATTCCAGTTAACATTTGATAAATCAAAAGTCTAGGAAACTATTGGAATAATGTTGCATCTATATTTAAAATTAAGATTAATATTACTTTCAAAAATGTTGTATTATGTGACATCACTAATGAATTAATTGCAAAAGCAGCTTATACAATTTATACAAACTGGTTATACCCAGTAACAACAGATCCATGGGTCTTATTTTGCAAATTTAATTCAAGTGTGAAAAGCAATATGATATTGAAGCTAGAATACATTTAGATGATAAACATAGGCAAAGATGGATTGATATACGCACTCAATAAAAAAAAAATTATTATGTATCATTATGGTCTCTAGCAATATTGTTAATGTAAAGTGTTCCAACATACTGTACACCTTTATAAACGACTGTACTGTATAAACAAATGGTTTTATTTATTCACAAGCCGACTGTGGTTGGATGAACTGATTGATGGATTGATTATTGTTTGTTAATTCATGAAATATTATTGATATATTCCAATTTCAATATGGGATAGTGATACTTCATAGCATACTGCACACTTTGGATCATAATAATGAGCCATAAAAGAAATAAGAGTACCAATCCGATCATTGATGAACCGTAATCATGTATGTGTATATATA